GATCGATAAATCAAAAAGCAAAAAAACTACGGCACTAGGAAAATAATAAAAACATTTCAGGCTTTAAATTTTAGTAAAAATATATTTTTAAGTTATATATATCTTTTTTTTAATATTATTTAAGATTTCAGTAAATATTTTAATACAAAAAAATATTTTCAATAAAAATCTTAGTAATTCCTAATAAGCTATAATAAAATAATCAAGAAATCACTTGATAAACAGCCAAAAAATCACAGTTTGTGGTTAAAACTAAATGAATTAAACCCAAAACTAATTAAAAATAAAATGGCATTCAGTGTTATCATTAAAAACGACAACTAAATCCCAAATTAGTGGCTCCCAAAGGCCGGGCTGCTCTGTTCTAAGAGCGTGTGGCAATTCCTTTAAGTGCTGGCAAATTCAGGACCTCAATCTCCTGGCCTTTTCAAAGGGGTGTCAATGGGTAAGAACAAGAGAAAAAGAGACAGTGAGAGAGAGAGAGAGAGAGGGAGAGGTAGACAGAGTGGGCGAGAATGAAGTCCAAACAATTTATATTAATCATACGCAATGTGGTGCCAAATTGTTCCGGGCATTGCCAGCACTTAAGGATGCCCCTCCACCATTACTGCGTCCTGCCAGGATCTAGGATCTAGGAAGGGGCTCATCGGTGGCATTATCTCGGTGCTTGGTGCAACAACAAAGACAACGACGATGACGACGACGACGACGACGACGACATTTGGAGCAATTTTGCAGACAAAGTCAAAGCTCTTAACGCATGCAGCCGCAGGACGAGAGCGATAAAAGCGCCGGCTAAAACGGATGCTGTATTATCCCTAACGAGCAGCATATAAAAATAAATTCCCCAACCAAAATGCAGAAGTAGGCGTGGCCAATTGGCCTATAATTTGCACAAGGCACAAGTGCACTTAGGGAAATAGTATGTACTTGAAATGAATCCTTATTTTATTTATATGTTAAATTTTCTAGAAAGAAAAATTCTAAGAAAAATATCATTTGAAAAGGTTATTAAAATATATATTTAAAAATATTTTTTGATTATTCAATATTATCAAAATATTAATCTTAAATAATCTGTATATTTAATTCTTTAATTTATAACCAAGACAAGCTATAAAATTTATTACAATAATTTGATATTATCCTAGCACATTTTTAAGAATTTCGCAAGTTTTTTCCAGTGCATCACGCTTGCCTCAAAATGCATTGCACGCTAATTAGGCTGAGTGAGTAAGGACAATTGTCCGACGACAAGTGAACTGGGCTACATACATATCGCAGGACGACAATTATTAATTGGGCAACTCTCGGCAGAGGGCAACTCTTGGCACTTGGCACTCGATTACCGTATTCTACGTGAGTGGTAATGCCTTTCTCAGGACTCTCATCATCATAACATATTCTGTCTGGTGTATTTCTGGCTAAAGTTTCGGCCAATTAAACCAAGCCACTAAAATCAACAGTATACAGACCCGCAGAAAAGCCAAAAGTGAATAATTTTAATGTGTAATTAACTAATGCATTCAATTTTAATATTTTCCAAAACAGACTGCCCGCAGAGCTGTGCCTAAATTAATTTTTAGAGATTTTGTTTTAGTTGGTTTTTTTCCATAATTTTTTTTGTTTAACTAAAAGCTGTTAATGCATACAGAGTTGGGCTTATAAAAGGCTTATAAAAAAGAAGTTGCCTCGTTAAAAGAGTTTTTAATGCTGAAAGATAAAACCTATAGAAGCCAAAAGACAGAACTTTTTACTATAAAAATTTAAGCAAACACTAAAAAAATAGTCATTAAATAAAATGTAGAAAAGTAGGAAGTGTTAAAAAGAAGAGGTTTAAATGAGCAACTAAATAAGTAAGTAATAAAATAATAAAGTAATTAAAAGTAAGAAAGATTAAGATAGCTTGACAAATATTTTAAAATTTACAAATATAAGCTAGGTTTTAAGAAACCAATTAAAAAATTAATATAAAATAGTAATGTAATTAATATATTTATATTTATTTTCTCCCCTCTTAAATTTCTCATTTGAATTATTAATCCATCATCTATAAACTTCAAATTAACCCCCAAAGATTCAATAACCAATTACTTAGCTCACAAAATGCTTATATTTGAGACAGAAATTTGTCTACTTTAGCACAAAAAGCAATCAAATATGGTATATATGCAAATATATATATTCGCTAAGATCCGATTGTGTTCCAGTTGTTTAATATGATTAAGGCTCTAATTGGTTCAATCAAAGTGTCTTCAGAGTTAATTAAACGCTCGGCTTGGAGATCCTTTCAAAACAAATTCCAATAATCATTGAAATAATTACCTATAGCCACACACACACACACACCCACTCACACACACATGGCAATGAGAGATTGAGATTGACTGACTGACAAAAGTTTTACGTGCCAAAAGGCGGAAGGAGGCCGCCGGGCGTTGATTATTTAAGTACTTAAACGTGTTTCCGTTAATGAGCTACGAAATAATTCATAAAATACCAAAAGTCTGAGCTAAGGCTCATCCCCTTCATTTTCCTCCTTTCCCTGGAATGATAACCCACACGAAAAATATGTATTTTTCTGTGCGGAAAAATGTATTTACTTAGTCGAAGCTCCTCAGACTTCCCTCAGCCTCTCACTCTCTGTGTGTGGGAGATGAATGAGCGAATCACACAATGAAAAATGTTTTTATTTACTTTTGATTATCTGCTTATGGACAGCACAACAACAACGTAGGTATTTCGGTGGAAAAGCGCAGGAAAAACTCAGACAGAAAACCAGGCAGAAGAGCAGAAATGCCTGAGAGATTAACAGAAATGCAAAAGTTTCTTTAAATTTTAAAAAATGAATTAATTAGGTTTTGAAAGCAGGTAATCTAGCTTAAATAATAGTTTACACTTTAAAATATAAAAAGAAAATTAAATTAAGAAATTAAAATAATTTCTAAAAATATGAAAACAGCTTTTTAGCTTAATGAAACTCAAAAAAAAAAAAGCAAAGTATAAAATTTTCTATTTAAAATCACCTATAAGTGCCAACTCTCTAGGGTTACTTTTGCCTTGGGAAAATCGGTGACAATGGAAAATGGAGATAGCGGCATGAACATGCGACCAGGAAGGCGACAAACAAACAAACACTGGCTAACAAACAAATAAGCAAACAAGTAAACAAGCGGCAAACAAACGGCTTATGGCCAGGCTTAAATGTGAACCATATGTTCATAGTGATGCTGGAAAAACGAGGGTTGCTTCAGCAGTTTGGCAGGGGATTTAACTTTCTATTTTTTGTCAACTATTGCAGTTTCCAAATCAGTGAAATGTTGAACAAAAAAAAGCTATAAAGTATGAAGAGCAGGACGATCTTAAGTATAGTTAATAAGTGGGGATAGTTATGAGGTATCCTTTCTGAGATGAAAGCTATTTTTATCCCTTAACAAAGCTCAGTTTCTTGATAACTTATTTTCTTTGTTTCTTTGTTGAAGATTTTCTTCTCCAAAACAAATCTTTCCTTTAAGCAAAGCAATGCCTGTAAACTCACACCTTCCATAAGCACACACTTCTCCTCCTTTCGGGCTATAATTTATGGCCAAGACCATGAGAAAATGAACGTACATATGTAGGTGTTCCCTTTGGCCTCTGGCCATTTAAAGTGTTAACGGGATGAAGATGATGGAATGATGGAGTAACTGACATGGGGCAACAAGTTTTCCCCTTCCAAAAAAATAGAGTATCTGTCACACTGGCAATTATTGTGCCATTATCCACTTTTGGACAACACTCAGATGTGTTTGTCCAAGTGTTTTCCCAATTTAATTGCTTTGTGATTTGGCCAACGTTCGATGGCTAAGCATATTGACAGGCAAAAATTTATAGCATATATAGTGGGGAGACCACGTTGCGTATGAGTAATGCCATTGCTTTCCAGGTTTTGGAGTATGTGTGTGTCTGTGGTGTGTGGGTGCTGGCACACATTTTGTGATTTCAACAAAATTACATTTTGCAGTTACAAGTGGTATAAATACATTTTACGTTTCGAAATGTTTGTCAGTGCGGTCGGTTAGCTTTTTTTTTGTGTGTGACTTTTGTGAAAGCTGTTTAAGTCTCCTGACACTCACCAGGAGAACCCAAAAAATTATTAAAATTAAAACAATAAAATATAAATGTAATTTAAGATTTTATATATATATTTAATAAAAAAAAATACCATTTTTTAAGTATATTTAGTTCCAAATCGTTCTTACTTTCCCATTTTTATGTTTTATATTTATCTTATATTAGTATATATTTTTTATCCTCTATTAGTCGTTATACATTTTCTTAATTTCATATAAAAAATACATTTACAATCCTCACTTTTACATCACAAATTGATCACAATTTAAACTGCATTTAAATTGCAATTTTTGCTTAGCAAAGCAAACATTTTTGTTACCGTAGGCATCATGCGATTTCAGTTATTCTATCTGTAATATAAATATATATATGCCGACAGCTAGAAAGTGCAAATATTCTATTTGAAATTTTCTCTAAATTGCTCTTGTTGTCACGAACGATTACGCATTTGGCAGGAGGGAAATTGTTTGGAAAATCACTGATTTAAATCTGGAGAGGATTTGGCTCTCTAAATTGCCAATGCCAAGTGCATGTGTTTATTGGGATTCCATTAGTTTTTGATATAATATAATAAAGTCTGAGGAAAGTGAATTGAAGAATTCTTTTACCCTTTTAACTATTAAGTATTACTAACCAATTAAAGTTTAGTTTAGTTTAAAATATAAAATATTCTCTACCAAAACCACCCACCACTTTCCACCCATTTTCAAGCCAAATCGTATACATTTGCGGCCAAGAGCTTGAAGTTGGTCAAAGTTAAAGACCAAAACCCAATTGTTTTGTGACCACTTGGAGCACTTAAATTGGCTTTCGGCGCAAGTCTGAGGCTAATTTGCATTTTGCGGTTGGATGGCAGCCTGAAGTTTTATTCTTTTTTGATCACTCACCATTCACATAGGCGGCAAAGTCAAAGTCCTTGTCTGTTCGGGTGGCACCATCATCTTCGATGTCCTGCTGCCGATTCGGTGATGGCTGCTGCAGGTCCTTTGGTGATTTCGGCGCGGAAATAGCGTCATTTCCGGTTGCCAACGTTGCCAGTGTCAGGCCCAAAAGGACAAACAGAACAAAGTGCAGGCGTTGCGCTCCCGGCATTGTCTTGGAGCGGCACCGATTGCGGCTCGGGGCAGCCGCCATTCCGCCGCTAATTGCACGCACACGAGGAAAGGGACTGCTGTAACCGCACCACCGGCAAGGGCAACGGCACCGGCACCAAAAATTTACCAACAACACACCAACGAAAGCCGGCAACAACAACAACAATAACAAAGGCAAGAAAAACACTGGAAAAAAACCACAGCAGACACTAGCCGGGCGCACTCGAAGGATAATAAACTCGCGGCTCAGTCTTCAGTTTCAGTTTCGGTTCGGTTATTGAGCTGCTTACGCGTAAATCCCAAGCCGGCCGACGACGATGGTCTCGCAGGACTCCCGGGTTACTCGCTAGGACGTGCTGCCTGGCCAACGAGCGAGGCGCAATTGAGGCACCAAAGGCTCTGCCAGCAACTCATATAGCCAGTTGCAACACATGCCGCACGCCAGGAGCCGAACTTGTGTTTTGGTGAATGGACTCGGCATCGGCTTTGGCATCGGCCGTATCCCCGAATCCTGTCGACGCCTGCGCCTGGGCAAACCAGCGACGCGACAGAGGCTTTTCCGCGGGTATGGGTGCCATGGAAGTTGCACAGCCAGAAGTCAGTTGCAGTTCATTTGCTTGGCTACGTGACGCGAGTTTTGGGGCAAACACACAGCCCAGAGTAGGAGTAGGACTAGGACAAGAAGCAGGAGTAGGTAGTTTACAGCGATTCGGGATAATGGGCATGGGCAACGCTCCCGTTGGAGTTTTTAAGAAACCGTTTTTATTATCTCGGCAACGGCTGACTTTGCTTTAGATTGAGATTGAGTTACCGATCAATGGGGATTTCTTAGTAAACTGTTTACCAGCATGGTGGGCAGTAAAATGTCTGTCTTCTATATCGTTGGTGTAATTATTGGTGTGATATTTTAACAAAGAACAGCTTTTTTAAAAGTATAATATGCAAAATACCATTTTATTGAAATGGAAAACAACTATTTTTTCATGTTAGTTGGTTATGTTGTTGGTGTAGTTGTTGTAATATTTCTTTTGTGGTATTACAAATTAGAAGTTTATAAGGTCTTTGGATTGTTTTTAATTATTGATGGTTTCCTATTAAATTTTTAGAATTTTTTGTTGGTGTAGTTATTGATATAGTTCTTAGAGAAGTTGTTAAAAAGCTGTATGGATTTTTCTATATTTTTTTGATGGAGTTTGTTGGTGTAGTTATTGGAGTACTATTTAAAGAAAGAAAGTCTTTTCTTGGCTTGGCTTTAGAAGGTATATTTATTAGAGAACCAATTTATGAGTATTTAAAATAGGAATTGAATTGGAAAAACTTTTTCAAAAGGTGTTTTGCTTAAAGGGTATTAAAAGTTCCTCCTTGCCTACTCTGCTTGTCATTATTCCTGGCTGTTGCACTTGTTGGTGTATTTTTGTGGCTGCCATTGCCGCTGCTTGTTGCCGCTGTGACCTGTGTGTTCCAAGATCAGCAGCAGTTACACATTACGTTTACCGTTACTGTTACTGCTATTAGCGTTGATGCTGTCGATGCTGATGTCACTGCCGCTGGGCTTAACTGCGGCTGTCGATTCGCAGTGCGGCGATTTGCATCGCAATTGCAATTGCAATTCCAATTGCAATTTGGCATCCAACTCCCCATGGCCCACCCTTTGCTCGCTTTCTTCCGCTCTTAATTAAAACATTTTGCAGTTGATTTGTGCGGATATGTGTGGTAATTTGATTAGCGCCTGCCTTTGGTTTGCCATTTCCGGAAGGAAAACATTTTTGGATGCCTGTTTTTGGGGCTTATGTCTAGGTTATAAGGGTGTTATTGGATTTATAATATATATATTATATATTGTCAAAATAGCCATGTGCTATAGCATTATGTCTTTCCCTGTTTTCCCTCTTTAGCTTGGCTGTAATGGTACCAAGTAAAAACAAACACTCGCCTTCACTAACTTTTCCCACAAAAATTAGCCCTTATCCTTGTCCTCCTCCTCGTGGGCCATAAAGTGTATTCGGTTTGTTTACTATTGATATTTATGAGCCACACAAAGGCCAAAGTCAGAAGCAAAAGCAGAAGCCAAAGCAGAAGCTCGCTAATCTAATTAAAGTTGCCAAGTTATTGGGAGAGGGGACATTTCCCCTGGCCTCTGCTGTTGTCAGTTCATTTTCATTGTTTTCACATTACATATTATTATTATTATCATTATTATTATTATTATTAATATTACTATTATCATTGTTATGATTATTATTGCTAACGGCAGCAGAGAAGCAATAAATGCTGTGGGACAATGTGGCGTATACTTGATGCCAGTGAAGCTACTGAGTCCTTACTCGGCCATAATGCTCTTACGGTCTTTATTGTTGTTGCTGCCTCGTGACCCAGCTAATTGTCGAGTTCTGGGTTTTGTTTTTCGACCCAGTGCCAGTGCCAGTGCCAATGCCATGTCCAGGGCCAGGTTTGCAGGCGCTAATTGAATCCGCTTCCATCAACGACGCTTGCCGCCGCTGAACAAAATGCAAGCCCGAAATTGAACAAAGCCCACAAAACACTGAAATAGGCAGAAAACCTCAAAGAACAAAAAGTGCAACTGGAGGCCAAAACAAATCGCTGAAAAGTGATAATTCCCAGATACCCTGGAACTTGAATAGTTAAACAAATAAAACTTAAATTTGAATATTTATTATGATTATTTTTTTGGTAAATATTACAAGACATTCGTTTTTAAAAACTTTAAATTAATCTTTTCAAGTCAAACTTCCTCCCTAATTGGCATACCCTTCCTGCAGGGTATTAATCACTAGCCACAGCAGCAACAATTCGCTCTCTGCGGCAGGATGTGAGAGTCGAATTTCGCTCGAACCGGAGTGATGATGAGGCAATTTGTTTAGGCCAGTTATGCATCATTTGGGGCGGAAAATAAGAGGGGGCGGAAAATGGCGGACGAAGGACGATGGATGAAGGACAAGGGACAGGGAACGTGGAACGTTAGAACGATGAAACGATGGTATGAAGGACGTGGGGCTTAGGTAGGCAATTCGATTTGCCGGCAAACAATTTCCGGCCGCGCCCGGCTCTGTTACTCATTACAAGCGAATAAGCCCCGAGTCCTTGTGGTCAGCTTTATTCACACACACACACACACACACACAAGCACACACACATGGAAATACTCTCAATGGCTGAAATCCGAGACCGATCCTGGCTACTGACTCCTGAATCCTGACTCTCGGCATCCGGCCTATCCACAGCAGCCCCTGGGATAATGCGCCCCCAGGAATATCTCGCAGACGGAGCAGTAATGCCTCGTTATCCGACACCCCTTGAGCAAGTACGGCCACAGGCAGGCACAGCAGCACCAGCTGAAATGGATTCGGGGTTAAGGATTCGCACACACACACACACACAAGTACTCCAAGTGTTATCACCCAAAAGTGCACAGCAACAAGGCCGAAACATGGGTCCGAGTATGTGCTGTCCTCCGCACACTAGTCACTCCCTGCTGACCACAAGCTGGGCACATGATCTCCAGAGCCCGGGAGCCCAGCTTTGGCTGGGGTGTCAGCTCAAAGAAATCTGCTTGAAAGATGGAAATAGGAATAGGAAATCCCCACCAAGAGAGAACCCAGATTGTAACTCACTATGCACTGGAGCTGGATGCTCCAGGATGCGTTGCTCCCTCCTCTCTGGATTTGGATTCTCCAACGGCAGCTCCTGCATCTCTGGCTCCTCCTGCAACTCCGCCTCCTCCGGGAGTTCTGGAACCACCTGCAACTGGGGCTGCTCGCTCACCAAATAGGGCATCTCCTCCAGGCGATATCTCAGGTGTTGCGGCTCTGCAAAGAAGGTACGCCGACGATCGGCCGGAAAGCCCAAGTGGGCCAGCGGTGGCTCTGTGGCCATGGCATCATCGTAGGTGGGTGGCTCCGAGGGCGACTGGGATATAGGTCTGGGCGATGCCTGAGAGGGATCCATGCCCTGATACAGCATGCGATGCTTCTCCTCCTCCATGGCAAACCCTTCTAGCTGGCCAGTTGCGCCCTTCGCTGGCTTTTATTAGGCGTCCAGGGGACGTTAGGGACGTCCCTAAAAAAAACTCACTAAAAGCCATGAAAAACAGTTGTCGATAAGCGCATTCCGGACCAATTAAGCAGCTGCCACCGATAGTCACCGTCACTGGGCACTGGTTAGGTGGAGGAGATGCGAGAGCTGGTGAGCTGGAAAGGGGTGGAGGTGGAGGTGGAGGTGGAGAGCTGGTGAGTTAGCTCTAAAAAAAAAAGACCCGTAGAAAGGGCCGAAAGCCCCTATAGTCCTCAGCACTTCATTCACCAGCAACGGCGATTTCTGTCAGCTTCCGTTTCATTTCCTGTTCATAACTTTTTCAATATGTTCTAGCCCTGCTGCTGCTAAGTGCTCAATGCACAGGGAAAAAATCTAATAAAATAAAAATCCTCTAAATGATAGTAAAAGTCAAGTAATATTTTACTCTCATAACCATTTATTCTTCTTATAAATTTTAGAAATGCCTATTTTAATTGTCTATCACCCACAAGTCGATTGTCTGATTAGGGGCTTGGTTTGCCACTGCTGCAACAATTACAATGGCACCGACGACCAAAAGTAGAGCCACGATGACCTTCTCATCCTTCAGGTTTAACTTGATTAGGATGTACAGCTCCAGGAGCATAAGGACGGCATAGGCAAACCACATGTGGTTAACCAAAATTGATATAGAGTCGTTGCACAGGCCCTCCAGCGACACTTCGCCAGGCTGATCCACTTTCAACATGGCCTTGGACACGTTTTCCGCCTTCTTGGGATAGTCGGGCATCTCAAGTTTGATCATTCCTCGCATGGTAACATCCCTCGACAACAACAGACGCCAAACCAGGGTCTCGTTGGCCATTGCCGAGGTGTCCAGCCGGCCGGTGGGTATTCCAAACTGTGTCACAAAGCTCCATGTCAGCAGAAAGAAGCCAATCTTACCGACTGTACCCAATTTCCAGTCCGCAGATGGCTTCGGTTCAGACATAAGGTTTGCGGCAAATATTTTGAACATCTTAGATATCTATAGTCACGGTATAACTGAGTACAAAAATTTCTTTTTCAATTTGGAACTGGAAACAAGACACATTCAAAACAGGTGTGACAAAGCTCAGAGTTTAGGAAAAACTGATAACTAAAGTTTGGGTTTCTTATATGTTTATTTAGGTGACAGCAAAGTCAAAGGGATGATGTTTGTAATAAAAATAATAATATAGAATAATTATATGAAACAAAAAAAACTAGAAACTACTTTTAGAGTCAAAAAAGGACTCCTTTAGTGCTTTGCAAACTTCTGACTAAAATTTGAATACCCAAAAAGGCATACAAATATTTAAGTAACAAAAAGTAGTAACTAATTTCTATTAAAACTTTGCTGAACTAACATAAATGAAAGGTAATATATATATATATATTTTTTTTTTGCCAGACAAACTCCTTTTTCTTGGCCAAAAATCTCCTTGTGTGGTTGCTCCGTAGCTCTCCTTGACTCGGCAGCACTCTGTTTGTTTTTTCCGGATTCCTCTGTTTGTTTGTGTTTTGCTTCAAGTTTTTCAATATTTCTGCGGGAAGGCGGAGGCCGAGACGAGGTGGGCGGGACAAATGCAATTCCGGTTGCCACTTTGCATTTAATCAACTTTATCGGTGTCGCACTCAGGCATCGCATGCATGTAAATTGTGTGTTGGCGCCAAAACAAACTAAATAAATGTAGGTGAAAATTATAATAAACAAGAAAGAAAGCTAACCTGGCAGGCCAAAGATTTTATACCCTTTGCAGTTTGTAATTGGAATATTAGAAATAAATTTAATAAGGGATTTTTTTTAACAATTTAAAATATTTTAAAATTGCTAAAAAATAATACAATATCAGGGTTCATTAGTATATTTAAAATATATATAAAAGTACGTCATGTATTACCCTGTAATTTAGTCCAAAAGTTGCAAGAATCTTGCTGAATTGCTGAATTTCATCAGTAGCCAAGTCTCAAAACTTGCCTGATTTGGGTCCACGGTGGAGTGTACTAAAACCACGACTAACGATCACCTATTACCCCATAAAAATCCATAATTTTGTTTTCAATTTCTACATTTCTTGTAGAATTTGAACAAGGTAAGTTTTTCTTTATTGCAACTCTTTCTCATGAAATTATCTCAAACTTCTCTCTTTCCCTCAATGCAGGGTATTCCCATCTTCGATTCGTATAGTCCCACCTGTTTCAGTCATTCGTCCTCTGGCATTGAAATTGGGATCGGGTTTTTGGGATCGACTCTGGGAACTGTCGCTGCATAAATTTGCAGTCCATTTCAGGCTGGGCCCATCGCTTTGATGTTTGATTTATTGCACAGTGTGGGTGATAAAGGGGCCAAAGAGGGTTTCAAAAGGGGGTTGACAGGGGTAAGAGGTGGCCTAAGAGCGGGAGTGTGGCAACAGGAGTAGGCTGAAGGGCCGCGGATTGGGCTTATCATCGGTCAGAAGCGGCACACAATTGTGAATGGCAACTGCAATTGGAATTGACAGTCGCGGGAAGGAGGAGGAGCAGGGTTCAAGGGGTCAGGTGTCAGGTGCTGACTTGGATAAGCAAATAAATGGATGAGACAGGGGCAAACAATCCCGTCCTGGCTTTGGATTCCAGCATGGACCCCAGCCGTTGTTGTCCTTTTTTTGTTCCATTTGTGCCCGTTGAAGGTCAGTAACGCGGGGAATCGATTTACCAAATCAGACAGCTGCCCATAGAAGAGTGACATTTAATGTTATTAAACAAAGAGTTGACAAAGTTTATTTTAATTTTGTTGTTGATAATTAAGGTTGTTTATTTGTAAGCAAAAAATCCATGATTTTTATAGCCTTGCAGAGAAGGAGATATTATTCTTGATCAGCTTCAACAGCCGAGTCGATCTAGCCATGTCCGTTTGTCCGTCAGTCCCTCAGTTTTAAAGCTATCTAAATGAAACTTTGCATATAGTCTTCTGTATACACTCACTCCCATATTTGCCGGATCGGACGACTATATCATATAGCTCCCATACAAATGATCGATTAAGTTTTAGAAAAAAAAAATATAACTTTGCTGTTTTTCACCATTTAACCATTTTTTAGATATGGCCATTTTATATTATTTCAGAATTTCGATACAAATTTTTTGAAAATCGGACGACTATATCTTATAGCTGCCATAGGAATGATAGGGAAATTAATAGAAAATTTATAACTTTGTTGTTTTTTAACGTATTATTTTTATTATTTCAGAATTTTGGCAATTATGAATTCACTTCAATTTATGAGATCACTGCTGTCTATTTAGGGTAAGTGTTTAAATTCTACATATCATTAACAGGCAAAAGGATTCTCGAATGAAAAGAGTCTACTCCAGGGGAACTCGAATGAATGAAGTGAGTGCCTTATTTCTGGGCACTCTTATGCGATCATTAGGGAAGTTTCTCAATAAGCCGCCTCGAATTGCCTTCGTTTTTGGTTTTGGGTCTTGGCATCCATCCGTTGGAATTGCTGATGAAATCGTTAATCCACATTCTCCCTCTAGCTCCCTTTTGGCTTTATAACTGATTGCGGCTTTTTGGGTGGAAATGTGTGCAAATAATATTTCGTGTAATTGCAATTAGCGCCGAAAAGGTTTTCACTTCTCGCAGCCGCTGAAAGGGAGCAGTCGTGAGCTTTCTCTTTTCTGCTAGCATTTTCCCATTTTCATTTCCTTTCCCTTTTATATGTATATATGTATATATCTCTATTTGTTGTTTGCCTTTGCCGGGGAATGCGAATGCGTCCGTGCGAATTGCGATTTCTTCGATGCTTCAATTACAAATATATATATGTGTGTTTTTATATACACTGAAAAAAATATTCACTGGGGTTTTTAACAACCTTAAAATGTGTTTAAGCTGATTAAATTGAGTTAAGTAATTCGAAACCACTTTGATTTTATTTATGAGTAAAAAATGGTGTCTAAAAGTATGCAATAACTTTTGTTAGATACTAAATTCAGTGTTTATTTCTTTTATTTGCTATGTAAAATATTTTAAGAATAATTTAGGACACATTTCAAAGGGTTTTAAAGGTCCTTCTACTTACAAACTTATCAAAATTGTAGCCCAATGTAAGCAAGAAAATGTTGTATTTAGATTTTCAAGCAGCTTTTCCACATCATTTTTAATTTAAAGTATTTTTTGTTCAGGTTTACTTTATTTTCATTTGTCTTAATTTAGGACAGACTTTTCTTTACCAAAAAAACCCATCAATATTCAACATTAACTATTTTTGAACTCTGTACACCTGCTGCTGGTACCTAGGCGCCAGGAAATCAATGTTTAAAAAGGAAGCTGGAACTGCTGCTGACGCCTTTTTCCCTCACACTTCTTTTGGCTTGTTAATTTGCCAAAGAAAAAAAATAAGAAATAAAGGGGGGAATATGCGAAGGCGAAAGATATTGAAGGTGCCAGGTCCATCCACAAAACGCTCCTCTCAACCAAAAGAAAAGCAAGCACTAAGCGAACTAAATAAAGGCAAGAAAAACAAAGGGAAAGAAAAATAATAAAAAAAAAACGAAGAAAAGAAAAGAAGAAGTCGAGTAAATGCTCCTTGGGTTCGTGTAAAATAGTTAAAGTTATGAGCCCAAAATGGAGCCAAAGAGCAAAATCAACCAGCACACTCGCACCACACACACACACACTCTGGCACTTGAAGTGTGCCAAGTGTGTGTGTGTGTAAGGGGTTTTGGGGCGCGAGTAATTCACATTTCGAGCACGTTTCGCTTTTATGCTCTTAAATGGTGAGTGTATCTGTGCAGGACCAACGTTTCACCGCCCTTTTCCACATGTGTGCTGTCTGTGGCAAAACGATAATTTTGTTGATGATGCCATGATTATAAGTTTTAGCCTCCTGGCAAGAGCTTTCAGCTTGCTGGGGAGGAACAATGGCGGCAACAAAATAACCCAAGAAAATACTAGCTATTAGAGCTTGGGGTATACCTGGTCACTTGTGGCGTTAAGGTAGATTTTGGGGGGTTTTATTTAGGATTAAATGTTAGCAAGATCTTTGGGAATAGTTGGAAGATTAGTTTAACCAATCAGGAAATTTTAATTTGAGTAGCAGCTTCTTGAAAATGTATAGAAAATGTATGTATTTATATATAATAAAATAAGAATAAACAAGCTATATTTTCGTCATAGTTTAAAAAATTTATCATTAGCAGAAAAAATACAAATGAAGATACTAATTAACTACCTTTTCTAAAGAAATTTTAAGAGCTAAAGACAGTTTATTAAATATTAAATACAAATTAAGAAATTGAATACATTTTCCAATTAATTTTTCATTTAATTTAACACTGAATATAACCTTAAATTACGCTACTTACAGGGTATCAAAGTACAAATTAAGATACACTTCAAGTACCTTTTCTAATGAAATTTTCATATTAAATACAAATTAACATATTAAATACATTTTCCAAATAGATTTCTCGTTCTAAAAATCATTAAATTTACCACTGAATCCACCCTTAAATTATCCTACTTACAGGGTATCAGCTTAGACCTCGAAACCTGCCAACCGACATACCCAGCGACCGTCGCCGTTCGCAATCAGGAGTTCAAGTGGCGTGTCTGGCAGCCGCGTATCTGTGCCACATGTATCCGTATCCGTATCTGTATCTATTTCTAAGTAAATTACACACACACAGAGATAGAGAGAACCAAACGGACCAAAGACCACATTCCCTGCGCGTGAATGACCCACATAAATAGCAGCATGCCTGGCCCGCCAGTCCAGTCTTTATTGGCACGTACCAAAAGTAACCAAAAAATAATAATAGTAAAAATCGTAGGAAAAACTCAACAGTTTTCAACAGCAGATTTTACAGGCATATTTTTTCATTAAGTGGAATTCCAAGCATCGTCGTCTTATGGCACAAATCGATTGACATGCCCCGAAAGGACCCTCTGATCTGCTCAATATTTCACCTGGCAGGTGAAGTGACATTCGGACAGGCAAATATGGGCTCAAGACGAGGAGGAAAGGCCTGGAGATATGCATCATTAGCAGCAGGGCCATATGCCAGCGGCAGCAACAATCTAGGTCCTGCCCTACGTATACGTAATTTCATGGCCCTAAAATATTTGCCTAATAAATTGTTTATTTATTGGCACACACAGACACTCGTAAGTAGCCATAAATTTCGAACATGACATGGTCCTGCCCCATGTATTGATTTATTATGATTTTCTTCTCCATTTTTCTTTTTTTTTTTTTTTTGCATCATTTTATGGCCTACGTCAGAAGCTGTTGCATACTTTTGAGGGAGCCTTCAATGTGGCATGTACGTAATGAGGGTTGTGCTGCTGCTCCTCCTCCTCCTCCCTCTCCTCCTCTTCCTCCTGTCGACAGACGCATTAACTCTTTGCTCGCCAGATTTGACCAGACATTATGAAAATGTTTACCCTGCACTTGCTGCCCGTCAGCCAGTTTCCGTTTTGTTATTATTGCTGTGGCTCCTCTGCTTTTTTGCCACCCCCTTTTTGGCATAAATATGGCAATTTCTCCTCTCCGTTTTTTTTTTTTTGTTTTGTACAATGTTTTTCTCTGTACAATGTCTGGTCCTGATGCCCCCTGCCGCAATCATGGCATCAGTAGCACCGTGAGCAGCAGCTTCGGCGGAACACTTGATGGCTGCTGTCTTGTAGTCTGCTTTTAAGCTCACAAAGTATAAAAAACTAACGCATACAGTTGAAAATCAAGAGAAAATCGACGGTGAAATACCTCTTAAAATGTACATATAAAAAAATTTTTGACATAAATAAGCCACATAAAACTTAATTTAAGGCTAACTAGACTAAAAAAAAACAAATAAAAATAACATAAAAATTGAAAAAAAAAAAATAAAATAAAATATAAGTAAAATAAAATATAAATAAAATAAAAAAGTAAATAAAATAAAAAATTAATGAAATAAAAATTAAATAATATAAAAATAAATAAAATAAAATGAAATATAAATAATATAAAAATTAAATAAAATAAAAAAATATAAAAAAAAAAAATTTTAATAAATAAAAAAATTTTAATTTATACCTATTTAAATGTATTTATTAATTAATTTATATTTACAATTACCGAGCCAAAATTAATTCAATACAAAGCCTTATTTATCCTCATTTTCTGTATATTTTTCTTTGATTTTTTTCTTTACAAAACCGGAGCATCAGCCACAGGGCACAAGAATAACTTGACAAGTTTTACCCTCAGCTTCAGATTTTTCTCAACTTTTCCCTCTGAGGCTGCTACATGTGCGTGTGGTTACTTAGCCAAGTAGCGTCTCTTCTCTCTGTTGTTTTTTGGCCTCGGACAACCTTTTGGGTATTTATTATTATTTTTACCTTTACACTTACGGCATTAGGAAATTCAATTTAAAAGACCTTCACTTGTGGATTTGTTTGTTTCGTTTTCATATTTTTAATGTTGCCTTCGATATACAATATTTAAAATATATATTTGCTTAGAACGAGATGCTTAAAATGGATGGAATGATTTAACATAGTTCAGTGTTTGTTATAATGTTTAAATAGTGTTAATTTCTAGCGGCTAAAAGGAGTGAGAGTGGACCGTGAACATGATTACGAGTACGAGTAAAAAGTATATAACTAAACCAGTTCGAGTGTATATAATAACCTTTTCTTTTTTTATGTTTATTTTAGTTTATGTATATAGATCAGTCTGTGTGCATGCACGGCTAAACGAAAATCTCTTTAAAAAAAAAAACTTTTAATATAAATAATCGCAATTAAATAGTAAAAAAAAATAATAAACTGCATATATCATAAAGAGTCGCGTTGATTTTCCTCCTCAGGCCAGACAAAAGAGCTTCCGCCAGAAGGAGGGCGTGGGCGGCAGGGTGGTGGGCACAAGGCCCTCCCAAATGGCTGTGTCGAACACATCCTTGACTTTGTCCTGCAAACAAAACAAAAAGGAAAAGAAAAAAAATACAGAATAATGCGATTATTAATCACTGGCTAATTAAATCAATAAAGGCCCCGCAAAAAATAGTTCAGCACTAATTACAAACTTCTATGCGCCAGATTAAATATTTAGCCTATAATTAACACACCACAGTTTGTGCATTCATTAAAACTTTAGCAATTGCTTAAAAGCAAACGGGGAAAAAGTTAAACAAAATAATAATGAATTAGTTTACTTTGTCTAATAATATATTTACACATATATGTCAATGGGAAATCTATTCAGAATATTAATCGTTTCTTTTGCATAATTTATTTTACAATTGTAAAGCTTGTAAAGAGATTTATTTCAACTGTTTTATGATAAATAAATATTATTTTAATTTTTTTCTAGAGAAATTTCTTTAATTTAATAAAAATACAATTCTTTCCTAACAATTTCTGCTCTCAACTTTAGACTAATTATAAGACTCATTAATACTTTTTGTTCATAAATTATTAAATATCTGTTAAAATCCTTAGTCCCCCGGCTGACTGGTGTCTCTGTTTCTGAGTCACTTGGGAGATCAAAGCCAGCTTATTTCCCGGAAGTTTTTCCACCGAATTCAGACATCTCCTACCGCCAAAGGCATTGCAACTTATATATGTATAAAAATACATATATATTTCTTATTTTCCAGCAACTAGCGTAACACTTGTACAACAAATTGTCGCCATCATCATCATCCCCATCTGGCGACGGCGGTGCCAAGTGCTTTATAATTTGTTGCAATCGCTTCATCTTCACGTTGTCGCCATCTTTTCCGGGCTGGCGGGAATTTTCTACCTTCGGGGAAATCCACGCAGAGTGCAATGCACGGCAATGGCGGCGGCATTCATTCGGAAGTGTTGGGGCAAACACGGGGTTTCCCCCTGTTTCCCAGAGAAAAAGCCAACGAAAAAAAAAAAAAACACACAATTATGATTATTGTGCGTCTGTGTGACAGGGCGACTCAAAAGGATGACACCAAAGCAGCCAGGAGTAGGATAAGGAGCGGGAGGAGGGGCGGGAGTAGGAGTAGGAGTAGGAGCAGGAGTAGGAGTAGGAAGTAGAAGCAGGAGCTCCCTTAGGAGTAGTCCCTGCTCTGACTCTGGACTACGGAATTCGCCGGGTTTTTTTTTTTATTATATCCCAGACTTTTTCTTTTCTCTTTTCTTTTGCCAAAATACCCTGGATGAGGTTTTGTTTCAGAGTTTTCTAAATTATTTTAAAGGTAACTCAGGTCTAGTTTTAGATTTAATAAAAGTTTTAAACTGCAAACTATAAATATTCATCAAGAAAAATATTGCAGATCACCAAATATTTATTCCTCCTGAACTACAGGGTATCTTCTAGTCCTTAAGCTTTCTTTCCTTTATTGTGAAGTGTTTACTTAGCCGCAGTAAAGTCAGAGATCCAGCCAGAGCAATTGTCTGCCTTTTGGCTTTAATTATTATGAGGTAACCCACCCTTGCATACACCCCCTTCAAACTCCCCCTCCTTTGAACTCACCTGTGTGGCTGACGAAGTCTCAATGTATTTTGCGCCAATTGTTGTTGCCAAATCCCAGGCGTCTGCATATGAAATTGCTTTCTCGCCATTTGTCTGCAAATAAAAAAAAAAAAATAAATATATGTAAGAAAAGAAAAGAATAAATCAAATGGGAATTTCATAAATATTTGAATTGATGGAATCCCCCGCAGCAACAGCATTAATAAATCAAATCAAATCAGAAGCAAAAAACGCACCTGAAGCTTGTTAAGGACATTTGAATTGGTGCGAAGATCAGCCTGTGTTCCAACCAAAATAAGAGAAGCCTTGGTCTTGGCAAACTTGGGGGCCCACTTGGCCTTGATGGCCCGAAACGTTTCCGGTTTCACCACCGAGAAGCAGAGCAGGAAGACATCGCTGTCCGGATAGCTGAGCTCCCGCAAAGGATCCAGTGTGTCCTGGCCAGCGGTATCACAGAGCGTCAAATGCACAGGACTCTCGTTTACGTTGACATCGGCTATTTAAAGATAATAATTAGGGAAAGAGTTTATTAATTTAAAAAATCTAATTGAAAGTAAAATAAAAAAAAAGAAGAATTAGGACATAAAAGACTCTTTAAAGGATTTTTTATTCTTTTAAGAAATTTATACTAAATAATAAATTAATACAATATTTAGCACAATTAATACAAAAGAATCTTCTTCAAAATAAGTGTTTTCAAGCCTGAAACTTGTTTAAATAATATTAAAAAAATCTATTTTTAATACTATTTCATAATATTATCCTTTATAAATAAAAAAAACTCATCTTAGATATATAAAACCTTTCCAAACTATTTAAAAGATCGAGTGCCCCATGGCAATTTCATATCATTATTACCACTTTCGATTTGCGTTTATTTGCCAAATGAATCAATCAATCGATGTGTGTGTATTGTGTGTGCGTGTGTGGCCTGGTTTAATTTAATTGCAAAATATGTAAATTACTCTTACACTGACCCATTCCCCGTTCCCCCTCCTCTCCTGCCCACTTTACTGTCGGAATTTAATTTAATTTAAAATGCTTTACCAATCCTTTTGTCCCCTCCATGCAAGTGCACATTTTTGGCATTGCACCGAACAACACACTCGAACACACACAAACCTACACACAGACACATTCTCTTCACACACAAATTACGACAGGTATATCTCTCTGGTCAACAGGGGAAATTGCAGATGCCAGAAATTTGCCAATTCATTTGAGTTTCAACCTTTTTCCACTCTCTCCACATCGTTCTTTGCGGCCGGAATAAATAAGCCATAATCTCAGATATGGCCTAGACCACTAACTGAATTAGGGTAAAACCAAATTGGCATTGTTAAGCTAGATTTAAAGGATACCAATGCTTTCACAGAGATCTAAAACTGTCAAAAGGAGACAACTGAAATGGTTTATGTGACAAATTTGCAACGAAAAAAATATTTTTTTTAGACTTTGCAGGGTATTATGTTTCAGTCCGCAGCCTAAAACGCACTGAAGGAGTCATTTGCTACCCTATAAAGGATATATATTCTTGATCAGCATTAACAGGCGAGTCTTTCTGGGTAAGTCTGAGAGAAAAATAAATTCTTTTATTTTATTTTTTTTTTTTTCAAAATTTGATAAGGGGTTACATCGTTAAAATGTTCAAAAATAGCCAAAAAATTGAATTTAAAAAAAAACCTTAAATTTTGAATGCAGGTTTATTTAATTTGTAAAGCCTAACACAAAAATGCTTTCCAAATTGAATTTAGTGCATTTTTGACTTAGTTATAGATTTTTTAAGGTTTTTTCATTTTTCCAAAAAATTTTATAAAATGAAGGATTCATATTTAATTTAAAAAAATTAAGAAGATTTGTTAAGTAATTATTTAGAAGAGCTTTCCGAATTGAAATTAATGAATTTATGATTCGATTTCGATTTTACTTTTTCCAAAAATTGTATAAAAGTTTAAAAATTGTTATAAAAATGTTTGATTTCTTAAAGTTTAAAATGCACGGTTTTTTTTTAAATTTATATGTTTGAGCTATTATACTTGTGCTATTAAATAAAGATATTACATAGTTTTTCATAGTTAAAATAAGATTTTCTCAAATTTGAAGTGACTTTTGTCTCCGGCTAATGAATATTTGCCTTAGCAGCTTTTTGTGGACAGTGATAACATTCGTTCTAGCATAGATCCCAGCCATTTTACCCCTCAACTAGAGACGACAGCCAGGAAAACCCACCCCCCAGCAAAAGCAACAATGGAAAAACTAGCAAGTGAATTAGTAAAAGGCAAATCCCTCTTTTCCAACACCCACCACTTTCCCCCATGTGTTTTAAGCAAAGAACATTCATATTTAAAAGCAGGTGAAAATTATTTGAATGGGGAACAGCAGTGCAGACTCGGAAAACTTAAGGAAATTCGGAAAATGCACACATATAATTGTGCAAAATTGAGAAGATGACTTGAATTAGGTAAAGACGAGAAAAAATTGGTTTTAAAAATACAAATGAAAGTTAAAAAATCATTTTAACATTTTATAGAATTTTTTTTTCTTGAAGTCCAATCTGGCACAGGAAACCCCCTCGAACCTAGCAATCCTCCTCTGCTATGTGAGTCCTATCTAAAAGTTAATCATGGCAACCTTTCATCCAATGCAGGCAGCCTCCTCCATCCGACTGTGTTTGTTCTGCGTAAATAAAGTTGCCGCTGCTCGGGGATTTTTTAAACAGCCTGCCGCAGCAACAGCAGGTTGCACATTGCAGATTGCAGGGTGGCTAGGCTATAGGCTGTAGCGAAGGTCGACCCACGGGGCTCATGTAAAATAAATTTAATTTGTGCAGCGCATGAAATTCATGAATACATTTTTGGGGGCACCTGACGCTGAGGGGGAGTCGAAAAAACCCCACCACACCTATAGCCTGGAGTGGCCTAATGGAGCCCGCCTTGCAATAAAGTTCACCTCAATTTCATTCTACAAATTTTCTTGGCTGAAAGTAAAAGCTAGAAGCAAGCTTTAAATAAATTAGTAAGGCTTTTGTGTGTTGATTAAGTCAAGGTGTTTTCTAGTAACATACGTTCCTTGACCTATTATCCACTATTTAAGCTACTTAATTAGCATTTCTAAGGTAGTTTTTGCTCCAATTTTCTTGAATCTCGTTTTTATTGTTAGCCTTATCACACTAGCTTCTCTAAAAGTAAAAGTGGAATCAATGCCGGAACAAAACAGAAGGCATTCAATGGTTTTTCCCCGCTTTTAACAAAAGGGAAATTGTTTGCCAGCTCAGCTGAAAATCGCTTTACGCCAAAGGGAGAACAAAACAAAAACACAAAACAGAGAGGAGAGGAAGGAATAGAAAACTGAAACTGGGAAAACTGTAGGAACGCGACGAGGACGAGGACAAAAGGCAAGCATCGTTAGCGGTTGCCTGCTTTCTGTCAATCGCGAGCCGAGAAAACTCAGCAGGAAAACTCCATTGAAATACATCCGCCTATGTACGCGTGTGTGTGTGTGGCAAGTGAGCAATTGTGTAATTGTAAGCTTAAAAGTCAGCTGCCTGGCTTTCCCCTCTCTCATGCTGACTCGACCCTATTGACACCTAATTGAGTCTGCCATTTGCGAGCGATTGAGGGATGCTGTATATACTTTATACAATAAGCTATTAGCACATCCCTCTTCTCCTCAACAAATAAAGAGTCCAGCAATTTCACGCACTTAGAGCAAAGTCAATTAGCCTTTCAGACATCCTTTTATATCCTTTCCTCCCCTTAATTAGTTGGCCAACTATGCCCAAGTCCCTGGCCTTTGAAAAATATACCTTTGAAAAACAAAGGATAACAGAATTACTTTCAACTTACAAAGCCCTTAATATTCTCCCTTCTTAATTTGTATAATTTCTAAGCTAATTTATGAATGAAAAACTTGAAAGTTACCAAATTACCAAATGAAATCTCCTATTTTTTGTAAGAAAGTTAAAGTAACCAATATACCCGCTTTTCTAGCAAATTTCCTGGGCATTTATAACCGCGTCCCAAGTGCACAAGTTCAGGAATCAGGCGAATAAGGGCCTGAAATTCCAGGAAATATGCACCAAAGCTGCCAGCTACCCGCTATGCCTGGCATTCACAGGCCCCCAACTTGGCCAATTGTTGCTTAAAACAGCAGGGACACACGGCGTATGCGTAAGCGGGGTGAGCCGAGATGGCTTACAGCTGCTAAAAAGCATCTACAGCAAGTGCTATTCCCGGCATTCCATGCTGAATAAAATGTTTTAAATACAATTTTTACATTTTACATTTTTTCATTAAAAAAAAATAAACTGCAAGCCTGGCATTTTTCTTACCAAAATAAGCAACAAAGCGAGGAGAAACTGTGCTTGTTATTTAATTAGCAAGAAAGTAAAGCAGAAATTGAGGCAAAAATATATTTAAATATAAATATTATTATTTAAATATATAATTAAAAAAACAATTAAACCAAACAAATTTTAGCCAAAAAATTCACTTGCACCTAGTCAAATCTATTGAATTATTCCACGTTTATCTTCAGGGCAAAATTCGTATAAATAAGTTTTCACTCTCTGGCAGCAAAATTGTTAGCTTCGAAGTGCAAATTCATGCAAAATTTTGGTAAAATCAGCCAAAGGGCTGCCTGTGTCTCGAGTGTCTGGCACTATGGGGTTAAGAGTGCTAAGCCTAAATCAATCAATTGCACATGAACCGTTGGGATGGAGCTATTTGCTCAACGAAAAAAAAAAAAAAAAAAAAAAACAAAGTCAAGTATCCACACATTTTGTGTTGAATAACCACAAATTTTCAATTTTCCATTCATTAAAATTCGTGAATGGCAGAAAACTTAAGACTCACACACGGAAAAGTCTAGGCATCTAGCATCTCTCTTGCCTTTCCTTATTATATTCACAAATTCAACACCATTTTTTGCCTACTTCCGGCAACAACTGTGCCTCCTCCTTACCATTCCTGACGCGGAAAACTCTCGGCGAAAGATTTCACAAATTGGTTTTCAACAAAATGAAAAATTCATATACGTGCCAAGCCAGCCGGAGCCAATCCTTGACTCCCTCCCTCTCCCTTCCTTAAAACGAAACCAAGGCCGCCGCAAAGGTCGATAAAATAAAAAAAAAAAAAAAAAAGGGAAAAAAGGAAAAACTTGGCAAAGGAAATAAAGGCATTTGGAATTGGGGCTCAACTTTGAGGGGAGGAGCAGGAGACCTGTTGAAAGAACGCTGTCCACTCACCATTATAAATGTCGGAGGCCGTGGGTATGTGCTCGGGATTGAAGCGGTTCTCCAGATATGAAAGTATCAGGTTCGTCTTGCCAACGGCTCCGTCGCCCACAAGGACGCACTTGATCGAGGGCTGTGAGGGTGTGCTGCCAGCTGTAAGGAAATCGAAGTTATAGCGATTATTAAAAATACAAATAAAAATATAAATAATATATAATTTAAAAGGAGTAATCCTGTTGCTTGTAAATAATTTCCCCTTAAAAACTCACTCTTTTTGCCATTCTTTTTGGCTTTTGTTGTCACTTCAGCTGCTGTTATTGCTGCTGCTGTTGCGGTTGTCTTCTTTGATTTACGTTTACGCAACAAGAACTTGGAGCCCTTGCCGCTGCTGGCTGCACTTGTGTCGCTCAGGGATTGTTGCTGGATAAAAAATAAAAAATTATAAATAATAAATAAAATATAAAATATAAATATATAAAATAAGAGTGCATTTAGAGAGCTAGTTAAAGACAAAAGAAATTCCTTATACTTTGTTTAAAAATCGTTTAATATATAATAAATTTGAAAAATTAATATAACAGCTTAAAAAATGTTAACCAATTATTATTCTATATTTAGAAAATTATTTTTAAATGTAAAAATTATATATATTATAAAATAAAGTACAAATCAGACTAATATATAATTTAAAGTTACTACAAATTTTACTATATATCAATTATACATTATATATATATTTTCGTAAAGCTTCACTTTATCTCTATTTTACTTAGTTTTTAAAAAAGAAATCAAAATTATAAAATATACATTTAGTGTATATAAAATCACTTTAAAAATATATCCTTAAAATACACTTTTCAAGGCTCACTACATATTGCAACTTTGCTGCATTTAGATTTCCATCAAAATTTGATTATTTTCTTGCCGCATTGCGTATACGCCCTGTATGCGCCTGCCAAATGTTGCCAAGAAGAGTGGCAATTAAATAATGAAAGCCAACAGATTGAGCCAGCTGTATGTAAGTGTGTGTGTGTGTGTGTGTTTGTGTGTAGCATAGGTGTTGTTGTGAACAAGAAGAGGGAGGTGTGAACTAATGCCTAGCGCGACACTTTTGCCTCGCCCGACTAATTTAATATGCACATATAAATTAGTCAAGACGACAGCAGCTGCTCTGCGGGAAAAAGGAAGATGGAAGCGGATGTTCAGAAGATGAACAGAGAGAGCGAGAGAGAGAAGGAAGAGAGATGGCATCAGGCAGAGACAGACGTTTAAAAATCTCTGTAAATGTTGCATTTGGTTGAGTAACATTGCGTATACGCCACCGGCTGTCAGTCCAGACAAAGAGGCCTGCACATTCTCAGTGTCTTGCTAACCATTTCCTCTTAACTTTGAGCTTTGTTTTCATTGTTTTATATATATATTTTAATTTTTTAGTGGATTTAAATTTGATTACTTTAGAAAAATAATCATTCCCTTTTAGTTTTTTATTTTTCCTTGGCTTTTATTGGCGCGGTCAGTGAATAAATATTCTGCATGTTTGATTTAATTCACTGAGCTCAGTCAATATATATTGCAATTTTTTTGTTCAGCAATTTAAACAATTTAATTTATGAGCAACAGTTTGCAAATATTACTGCTGTTGTTGATTAAATCAAAGCGTTTAATGGCCAGCAAAATCTGCACTTGAATTAATCATTTAAACAATTTGCAATTTTTTATATATATTTATGTATAGTTTCCTGTCCATTATACCCCACTTTATCAATTTTACGCTCAAAAATTCCTGTATTTTTTATTTCCTGTAATTAATTATATATTTAACTTGCTGTGGGATACATAAATAAGTCACAAATAAAGTGGAAAACAAATGTTTTATGCAAGCTTAAAACCCTAAATACAGTTGTCTAATGTTAATGGGTTAATAAGGGCCAACTTCCTATATATCCATCATTGTACGTTACAATGGCCAATTACAAGGATAGCTATCGATTGGAAAAAACCAGGGGAAAGTCAAGGAAATCGAGTGCGAGTGGGGATAACATATTTGCCAGACGCTATCTAAATCAATATCTAAATTGCTTTGCGTTTTGTCGTTGTCAACTTGAGAAGGTCGGGTCTTTCCACCTCGCACTTTTCCGTCCCTCAGAGTTTTCCCCCATTGCTTTGCCATTTTCCGCTTGTTAGGCGATAATATCGCATACAAGCTAACGGAAACTTAAAGTTGGGAAGGCAGCGAGGAGGTGTTAGAATATCCACAATCAATATATGTATACACAACAGCCAAAAAGGTTTGACCTTTTCAAATGAAATTGAAAAGAACTATATAATCTGGCGAATCGGACAATTAGCTTGTAAACCGTATAAAAGCATTAACAAATTACTCTGTGTTCTGGTCATTCACATTCACATTCCATTTTTCCCCATTTCCCCCATAATTTTTGTGAGTTCTCCCCATGGCTTTGGGTTTTCTTTGGGAAAAACTTTGGTCTTTCGTTATGGCCAGTTTGCGCCATAATTTCCTGCCACCGCCTCTCCTCGACTTTGAGCCAACTTTTGCCTGAGAATTATTCACAGCTCTCAATCAACAACAAACATGGAGATTTCTGCCATAACCCCCGCCGACGCTGCTCTCTTTCAAATTAAATTAAAACGTCTGTCTCCATCTCGCTCTCTTTCACTTAACTTCCTCCTTAAGCTGACTAAAAATAATTCCTTGTGTTTTTTTCTTACCATTTTTGGTACATAAAACCGAAAGTCAAAGCCAAGTTTCTCTTCTTGACAGCGCAACTTTGCTGACAAAAAAAAAAAGAGAAAAAGAAAATGAAATGGAAAATATGGAAAAACCATGGAAAGAAGATTAGTTGTTATAAGCCGAAGTTTGGAATACCCTTTCAAGTTAATCTGTATAATTTATATAACATTTTATAACTCGTAATACTCTTCTTTAAATAAAATTTAAAATATGTCACAAAAAGAGCAAACCCCTTAAAAAGGACGTAAAAAAGGCATACTTTTCCAGGGTATCTTAAACTATATAGGCTTCTGAACTTTAAGAAAGCTGTTAGCCATGGCAAATGCTGCCGATCCCCGAAAGCGATTTTGGGGGGGGTGGTAGAAAAGTTGCCATTACTTCCTGGAAACTCCAACTCTCCCCCAGCTCCTTTGGTCAACGTATATATGCAACTTTTTAATAATTTCATTCGAGCGGCCAACATACTTATGTACTTATAATTTTATTTTGTATTTGAAACATTTTTTTCGTTTTTTTTTATACATTTTATTTGTGGGTTTAAAAGTTTGTCGCCTTAACCCTTGACTTTGGCAGGAAGTCCCTAGGGGAAACCCCAAGTTGAGGCAAATAATTGAGGGAAAAGAATGGCCTGGGGAAAGTTTTTACCTACTATATATAGTCTCTTGTATATACTATACTATACATATAGTAAAAGTCGCCTAGACAGAGGCTGAACTTTAAAAATAATGCGTTTTTTACCAGCTTCTAGTCACAATAAGAATTAAATAAATCAAGAGAAAAGGAAACCAACTTTTACTTGGTAAACGGAAGTGACTGCTGGGACTTTATGCAAAAAGTAACTTCAGTGGTGGAAAGTTGAAAAAAAAAAAAAAAAAAAAAAAAACAAAAAAAAAACAAGTAATAAAAATTGAAAACATACACTTTTTAGCATACAAAAATACCAACAAAAATATATAAATATAACTCCCTCTTTATATCCTTCCTTCTCGCCCAACTTATATGCTTTCAAACAATAAATAAATATTATTAAGCAACGCCAATCACAATAGTATCTACAATCAAAATAACTTTTAACATTTTGGCTGGCGACATTCGTGCCATTTTTGGCCATTAAAAGTTTTTTTTATTTGGTTTTGGCAAGCATGTAAATCATGCTTAGAGCACAAGGACAAGGACGACAGGCAGTAAACTTGAAAAATGGGTCAAAGTTTTGCCTGTATTTGGGGAAATAAATCAGCTGAAAGTCTGCCTCATTTATCCATCACCCAAAAACATACTCAACAAATAGAAAATGAATGAATTGTAATTTGCATGTCTTGGCAGAAGATCCCTAAACTCATATTTTGGGCAATTGAATCATGAATCCCGCATGGGACTCAACTTTGCGTTAAGCGGCCATAATTTTTTTTTTAAATATAATATAAATATGAAAAAGTACATGTATGTGGTGAAAAAGCCTGACAGCTGCCACAAAAAAAAAAAAAAAAAAATGTTTTGGAATTGAAATTGATGGCATTATCATTTATGGATTATGCTGGCTTAAAATTTGAATATATATTTCATAAATATATGCGTAACTCTCAGCCTAAATTGTTGTCGCACTCAATTTAGTTGAAATGGAAATGTGTTTGCCTGATTTAAAGGAAAGCAAAATAAATATGAAGAGGATTTTCAGCAAAATAAGTATACGCAGTGGTGACCAATGGTGGAATATTTCTACTAAAATCTAAAGGAAAAATAGTATTTATTGTTGTAAAGTTTTATTTTCAGCACTTAATACTAGTCTTTAGTTTCTTATGTTTGTAACATCATAATTATTATTATATACTTTTAAGTGGTCCTTTTTTGCTTTGTTATTATGTGGCAAGTTGCTATATTTCACTTTGTTGTTGTTCTTGCGACTGCCTTTGGTGCAGCAACAGCAGCAGCAACTAATAAAATTGCGGTCTATGTAATGGCATGCCACTTATTGCCTCAACGGGGAGGTTACTACTAAAAGCCCAACCGCAGAAACCAAAACTAAACAGTAACAGCAGCTACAATGCTGGCCAGCGAAAATTGTTCTGCGCCGAAATGAACATGAAATTAGTTACAATTTCGGGTTAAAAACGGAAACTTTTGGGCGTTCAAGAGGATGATGCAACAATAATGGTAAAATAAGGCAAGGTAAAGTTCTAAAATCGAATAAAAACAATTTTTATCAAGCTTTTATATAGAAATCGAAAATTTTTTTGTATATAAATAAAAAAATAAATTTTGGAATATTACAGATTTAAAAAAATATAATTGATTATAAATAAAATACCCCTTTTACTAGGGTAAACGAATTCCGGATCGTAATTAAATTCCTTTCTACACAAAAAAAAATAATAATAAAAAAAATAAAGGTGTTGTGTCTGTGAAATCTTAATTAAATTCCTTCACACTTGCATTCACAGCAGCAATATGTTTTTTCAGCGTTTGACAATCTAATTAAAAACACTAAAACAGGAGAGAATTATGTTTAAATGAAAGAAAAAATGTTATGTAAATGATATGCAATCTGTTGGGTAACGTGGCGTATGAGTATTTTCACATTACTCATACGCCTGCTCAGCTTGGACAATGAAAACGCAAAACCAGGCCACTCTTTTCCCACTTTTTTTTAATCACAGGTAAACTCTTCACA